AGATTCAGAACCTATAAGGCTTCCTGGGGAAGTTTCAATATCTTGTCTTCCATCATTCATATTCCAGGGTCTTTAGTGTATGTGTTGGCTGCTTAACTCTTAGTGATTGAAAATTGCTAGATGGTACTAGGCTGCTCCTTGTAGAGATCCAGTACCTGGCAGTGTTATCAGTTGATTCACCTACAGAGCATTCCTTTATGGGCCTAGTAGTTTTACCCTGAAATGGAAAAGCCAGTTTCTGATAGTTTTAGACTATGGGGAGTCATGACCAATAGGTATCCAAGTCATTTCTGCTAGCAGATAGTAGTGCATCATAGAGCAGGATGTTGGTTGATACATTTAGTTTGGTGAGCGAGAACGATAGAAAACAAGGTGAAGCCTAGAGATGTTTTATTCATACCTAACGAAGAAATTGATTTTTATCTCGATTTTTTTATCTTAGTTTTATCTTAACGAGGATAGAAATGAGTTTTACATTATAGACATGGGTATGATTTTAAAATTTTATTAGGTATGGATAGATAATATAGCATTTATCTCTTATCTTTATATTATATATGTTTATATATATTTAGTAAATAATTTTTTATTAAATAATATAAATTATTATTTTAGATTAATTTTAATATATATTTTTAAAAAATTATTAAAATATGTAAGATAAAAATAAAAAAATAAGCTAAAATATATTTTTATTATTGTTTTTTAAAAAATTATGATACAAGAATTATTTATATTTATTAAATACTAACAAAGATAAAAACTGAGATAAATTAAATATTCATTGAATTAGATATAGTTTAAAAATTCGGATGAAAATGAAAAATGCTTTTATTTTTCTTGCATCTTATTCATTATCCTCCCTAGTGAAGAAGCTAGTAAGAAGTGGATTTGTGACAGAACGCCTGTGGGGTTTTCGAAAGGGCAAAAAACCAAATCCTTTCTTTGGCAAAAAAAAAAAAAAGAAATGGTAAAAACCAAGATCCACTGTTAATGATGACTTTACATGACTGATGGTAAATGATACCCGTTTTTCGTTCACTCTCGTGATGTAATGTGTGGAGGGGTCGGGAAATATTGATCAACTAATACGACACTACAGAATGCTGGTTCGGCAAATTATGGGTTGTTGATTTTAGGACTACTTTACAGAAAATGGGCCTTTTTTGTCAGATGAAAATGGGCTCACCTTTTTTGAGAAATATTTTAATATTAATAATATCTAGTTCACCACCAGATTTCCACTTGTATCTGGGCTGGCTTGTGGGTGCACCAGTAGCCTCCTCGAGAATGGGGGCCCGATTTAGGCTAATAGCTCAGAGCGGACATCACAACTTTGGACCAAACTAGATACATAAAGCCTAATTTTTTTCTTTTAATTTTCAAATTCTTTCTTTCCTTTTTCTGTTCCTGGCTTGTAATAATGCAAGTTAGATCAAGGCCTTTCAAATTAAGCTTATGACGGAGATAGCAAGATTGAATAGGTTATAGGATTATCCTAAAAGAGTCAAGAATCCAACGCAAATTTTTCTCCTGTTGGCTTTAGCAACTTGCCATTGGCATCTGTGTTTCATAGAATGAGAAGGAGACAAGCTCTTCTTTTGATATGTCTCAAGCACCCTTGGCTCCCAGCATCACACATATTCCCACGTGAAATTTTGTCGCATAATACTCTGTCGTTTTCATTTTAGTTCTTTCACATTTCTGTGCTTCGGGCTTTTCTCCTCATCACTTTCCCTTGAGGGGTCCATTGTTAATGTGCCTGATCTTTTATGGGCCGATGCCCATTTCCCATCATCTTTCCACGTCATCTGCTGGGACCCCACCCACTTCCACCTCCATTTGAGACAATTAGAAAACGATCAAATAGAGTTTATTATTTATTCGTCATGTATAATTAAATTCAAATATTATTGATTGATTTAATTGATTAAAATTTAATTATTTTTATAAAAAGTTTTTGAATTTAAATTTTATCAAAGATTATTTTTTAAAATTATTTTAAATACATAATTTATAATTATTTATTTTTAATTATCAGATATGATATATTTTAATATGTCTTAACTTAAAAACTAAATCACTTATTTACTTTTTAATTTTTTATCAAAAAAATTAATTCAAATATTAATTTTAATAAAACTTATTAAGTATACATTATTTGTAAAATTTTTTAATTATAATTATAATAATTTTTATATTATTTCCAATTTCATTAAAATTATTCTAAGCATCCGGGTCCTTAATCAACAGCTTTAGTTTTTTAATTGAAAGTATCCAACTAGGACCCATTAATCAACAGCCACGTGTACGGTCAGAGAACCGTTCCCCACCTTGAAATATCAAATGGAATGACCTGTCCAACATCAAGTGTCAGCTTCGCCGTCATAGTGATTCGGATTTTCCTAGATCAGATCACAAATCATAGTCGGCCCAGCTAAATCATCTTTTTATTTTTGGGGCGTTGTATTGTACGGTACATATCATCTCTTGATACACCAACTCATTTATCAGAGAACTGAAACTGTGAATCACATTTTTTTGTTCACTAAATCAGTTCTTCAACTTAGAGAGTGAGACAAAATTAAAGGCCTGTACTTGCTATGGAAGATAGAAAGCTAGAGAAGTGAAAGTTTGTCCATCGCATAGTGTTGTAGGGTAGGTTACTAGGTTTACGATATCATCAATGAGAGCTTGAGCTATCAACCATTGAATAAAAAATTTACCATTCTTGTGCGTTTGAAAGCAAAGAAATGAAGCGGCGGAACCGAAGGGTTCGGTGAAAAACTGAAATAAGAGACAAAGATGAATGAATTTTGCAGATGGGGACCAAATCAGAAGAAGTGTATGGGGGAGGCCCCCACAGCAGCAAACTAAGATATGGGCGGATGGGGCACATGGGGCAAGTCACGACATGGGCGTGTTTCTGCTCCTTGAAATAAGAACCGTCCATGCAGTTAAGTGATGTATCGGTCCAAAATCTAGACGTTGGTACTTGGTAGTAGAATTCATGATTGAAAAATATACTTGTTTGGACGTGACCTATTAGGCCCCACACAATTTCATTTTATAATATTATTACTAGTAATTTTATGCGCATGATCTCACCAGATTTTCAGTATTTCAGTGCGAACTGCCAGTGCAAAGATTGTCCTGTTTACAATTATGAGTGTGTACAAATTTAGCAACGTTTTGTTTTCCTATGGTCATATATAATGTATGGAAAAAATAAATAAATAATGAACTGCAGATCGAATATATGTTCTTTGAAGATAAATTCTTTGCAGCAATAATGGAATTCTTTTTATTTCTTGGTTGGTTTTTTAAAATTTGGCTTTTTCATTGTTGTTTAGTATATAAAGCATATTTGTTTTAATTGCTGTAAGTAACTATTCAAGTTCCAAAGGTGACTGCAGCAAAATCAGTTGAGAACCAAAAAAGAAAAATGGTTTTAGGTAATCAACTATAGCTAAAATGGTGCGCAAGAAATTAACAAGAATGTTCATAACCGTTACAGATTGATCAAAGTGCAATCAATGATGGAAAACCTCCAAAATCCTGGAATTGCAGAAGGTGAATTCTGACAATAATATGAACAAGTAATGCTAGAAATTGCATTGGCTGTCTTTTTGGATAAAAGCATGGCATTGCTATCATTGAAAAAGAAAGGGAATGGTACGGGGTTGTGACGAGAAAAAAAAATGTACAAATAAACTTTTCCTGTCTGGGGTTGGATGTTTCTCCCTATATGTAATATTGGTGCATTAGGTAATGAAGTTCGAGTGGAATAATGGAGTGGGAGGTCTCACCAGAAAAAGGAGTTTGAGTGGATGTGAACATGTGGCTAACATGGTTATTTCACGTAAGCATCTTAGGTTCTCAAACCAGCAATCATGGAGGCTGAGCATAGTTTGTTCTCTTTGAAATCTGCTCTTGTATTAGCTTGAAAATTATGGGAACCACTTCATTCTAAAATGGGAATTCACCCTAAGGTGGACCTCAAATTTGCATTGCATTTTCAGCAAAACAAGCAAGGAGTGGGTTGAATTTTTCTTCCACATTAGCATAAAATGTCACCTGGTTTTTAAAAGGATCTCCCATCCAATTGTCAGAATTGAATTCTTGCATCAATTATGATTTGATCCCTTCAAAAGAAACAATGACAGTAAAAAGAGTAAATTACTATATCTATTGATACTATTTTTTGAAGCCAAAAACCTGAAATATTCACATCTTTCTTCTATGGCCAATAATAGTAGTTAACTTCCGTAGAGGCTTTAACAAGTATTCTAAATATAATCTCAATTTCTTTTTTTTTTAAAAAAATTTACCCATAAAAGAGTTTTTGAATGACTTTCTACGTATGAATTTAGACAAAAAAACGTACTCTTTGTGAATGTTAAGAGGACCCACTGGCCATCATATTCATGGCGTCAATTAAATCTGATTACAAATGCAGACAAATTTGTTCCAACATAAAGACGTATACAACTTGTGTATGTATAACGATGATCAAGGAAGATTATAATCACACTTTTGAAGATTATTAGGTTCATTATCAGTTAATTATAGCATCAACTCCAAGTGGGTGGAAAACATGTTAATGTCAACTGTCAAATGTGCCTTCAGGATGGAAACTGAGCCGTGAAAACATTTTTCATGACCAGCAAATAATGAAGAAATCAACAGCAAGGGTCTAGAGAGTGGGGAAAGGAAAAAAAAATCTAAAATTTTGATAATGTGACGTATCTATTATTTTATTTAATTTTGTTTTATTAATTCTAAACTTAGGGTGCTGATTAATTCTAAATTTAGGGGGTTGAAAGTTGAAATATACAGGTGTTTGGCGGATAAAAACTTCCCTTTTATGTAAGCAGAGACTACAAACTTGGATTGAGAACTGAGTGGCATTGAGTGACAATTTGAATAGAAATAAGGTCACATTTATTTATGATACATTTGTTTGTAGTATTTTATGCAGCTACAAATACCAGGTTGGAGGATTTCTCGTGAAAGCTCACAAGCCAATAAAGCTATAACCAGCTAACCATCACCCTCAACATTCATCACACTTTCCATCTGAATCTTGACCTGTTCTTCCCTCCTCAACCACTAAAAAGCTCATTTGATTGTATTTCTGAATCCAATTCTGCTACTTTCATTTGGTGTTCTGTTTTTTTTTTTTTTTCCTTTGATCTTTCTATATATAATTTTTTTTGTTAAAAAAATGGCTATTTGGCTTCTGGGTCATTGAGAATTTTGCTTCTTTGAGATTTTTGTGATCTGGGTTCTTTAAGTAATATTAAATACATTGACCTGATCCGGTCATTTAGCCTCTTTTCAGTAACTTACTTTTGGGGTCCCTTTGATTTCAGGCTTGCATATTATATTCTGCACTGTACCTTTGAGTATCTGACACAACTGTCATTCTCTTTCTTTTTTTTTTTTTTTTAATTTCTCTCGTATCTTTGTGTGATCTACACTTGGCTTTGTTACTTAGATTAGAGGATATTACCCCGGGGTTCAGTACTCTTTTAATCTGATTCATCATCTGTTTCGTTTGGGGTCATTCCTACCAGCCAGGAACTTCAATGGATTCTTGTGTGGCCTTAAAAGCCAATTCTCATTTGGTGAATGCAAGAAAAGGTGGATTTGGCAATGGAGATAATGCATTTTGGGGGGAGAGAATAAGAGGGAGTCTTAATAACAGTGTTTGGATCAATCAGCTAGCAAACAGCTTGAGAACAGATAATAAGAAAGAAAAGAAGATCAAAACTGGTCCTCTTGCTGTTCTCACATCAAATACTCCCAGAGAAGCCGTGGTATGCTAATTCCGTTCTATAATCTTTTTTTTTCCCTTTCTTTTTTGTCCCTATATGAATTTGTTTTTGCATCTATTATTCAATTTATTTTTGCATGACCATTATCATTTTCGTAATTTCCTGTTAAAAACATAGCCTTTACAATGGTTCCTTCCTAGGTAAAGTCTCATTTTTTTTTTACTTTGATTTGGGTTTTAGACCATACAACCACTTCGAGTTGAGAGACGACTAGTTGACCCCAAAAATGTGGCTTCAGTCATACTGGGAGGAGGTGCAGGGACTCATCTCTTTCCACTTACCAGAAGGGCGGCTATTCCTGCTGTAAGGACATATAAATTCTCTTATGCTAAGCTCAGTTTCATGACAGAATTGTCTGTTTATTTTAATTATATTTGACAGTATATGCTTGATGCAGAATTTGATACTTAAGTTAGATTCTATTATTACATTGAATCTAGGCCATGTTGGTACCAGTTTGAGTGTAGTGGATGATTTAATGTGAATATGATGTGCAGATTCCAGTTGGAGGATGCTATAAGCTGATAGACATTCCAATGAGCAACTGTATCAACAGTGGGATAAACAAGATCTTTGTTTTGACCCAGTTCAACTCAGCTTCCCTCAATCGGCACCTTGCACGCACGTATTATGGCAATGGTATCAATTTTGGAGATGGGTTTGTGGAGGTATGAAATCATTAAGGTTAATAAAAGATCAATTTGCAACTTTCTACTGATTTCAAGGTAGAGTAAGCTGGCTAGGGGCTGATTTTGTATCAAGAGAAGAGAAGAAGAATTTTCTAATTAAATTACCTGTTGAATATTGATGATCAATCTAGAAATACAGAATTAACTGTGATGTTTTCCTGAAGATAGAAAGAAAGCCTCACCTTCTTTGTCAGCTTAATTAGTGCAAACCTCAAAGTTGAACTTTTTAAAGGAATTCTGGTATCCAATCATATATGATCTGTGGTAATTCTATTGAGGATTCGTTCATCATTAGATCACTTGACAGAACTCACTTGGTCAACAGGTTCTAGCAGCCACTCAAACATCAGGAGAGGCAGGGAAGAAGTGGTTCCAAGGAACCGCAGATGCTGTGAGGCAATTCATATGGGTATTTGAGGTGAGAATTGAAAGTTTTGTTTCCCTTTCTCATGTCATCCAAACAGGCACTCATAAAAATGGCTGGGAATTCATGTATTTCACATTCTGTTCAACCAGCAATAAAATGTGATAAATCAAATTTATTCTTGTAGGATGAAAAGAATAGGAACATTGAAAATATAGTGATCTTGTGTGGAGATCATCTCTATCGAATGGATTATATGGAATTTCTACAGGTATTGATTACTTTTACTCAATTGGACTCTTCTTTTTTTTTTTTGGCATTGCTAAAATCCTAACTAACTTATTTGCAATGAATGACAGAGTCATGTTGACAGTAATGCTGATATTACAATTTCATGTGTTACGGTGGACAACAGGTCTTTTGATCTTATCTCATCTCAATAATGTAGTTTTTAAATTGTATATATACTTTCTCTAATTTTTCCCCGCTAGTACAACTTCCATGGTTTACAGTCATTGGACGAAACTATCTCTTGGGTATACTTTTGCAGAAATTTTCTTTTGGGAAGAGTGATGAATTAAAAAAAGAGCAGAAACTATGATTTATTTTTGGGTCTACCTTCCTCTATCATAACTTTGTATTGACAAATCCTAAAATTCATTTAAAAAGCTGACCATCGAACTACTTTCCAGCCGTGCATCTGATTATGGACTGGTGAAGATAGATGGGAGGGGCCGTATTGTCCAGTTTGCTGAAAAACCAAAGGGTGCTGATTTGAAAGCAATGGTAAGCAATAAGAAGATATGCTTAGTCCTGTTTTCCTGTTTTCCTATGTATTTCTGAAATTCAGCATTTTAAGGGATCAAAAATATTTAACAGAGTCCTATGTAAAATATATCATATGTTGCGACTTTGAAGGAAAGTTTTGGTAGTTGCATATATATTACTAAATATTTGACTCTCACAGGATCACTTTGTGTACCTTTACTGTAAGGCTATTTGATATCTCCTAAGGAAAGAAAGTAGTGACATCTACTTTCTGCTGATGACCTAAACTGCATACAAGAGTTTATTTCAACTCTCAGCTACTTAACTTTTAAGTTTTGTTAAAACATGTTATTACAGCAAGACACTGTTTCTGTTTACTTGCTTTCTACATCTATAACTAATTAACATTATCTCAAATAATACCTCTTTTTATTTATATGGTTCTCTGCAGCAAACTGATACAACTCTACTAGGGTTGTCTCCCCAAGAAGCCATGAGATCCCCTTACATTGCATCAATGGGAGTATATGTATTTAAGACAGACGTTTTGTTAAAGCTTCTGAGATGGAGATTTCCTACTTCCAATGACTTTGGCTCTGAAATCATTCCTGCTGCAGTGATGGAGCATGATGTCCTGGTAAGAGCTATAAAATGGAACTTTCATTGCTGGAAGATGTTTCTCCATCTTTTCTAAGAAAACGGGTGAGGTTATTTATCATGAGGCTTCAAACCCAGCACCAACCCCTATAAGCAAAGAAGCAGGCCCTTCCACATTGCATTTTAGTATCTCCATAAATTTAAGAATCGTGGCATTCATATTCTTCATAATTTCTATATGACTAAAGCATTTGATTACTAAATGTACTATTGATTAAAAGGTGCCATAAATTCTGATTGTCTCTTGTATCTACAGGCATATATTTTTAGAGACTACTGGGAAGATATTGGAACAATAAAGTCATTTTATGAAGCCAATTTAGCACTCACTGAAGAGGTTGGTTTTAATGTTATAGAATGTCGTGTTTTGAATTCCTATCCATTGGTCTCTAAATCATGAGTTTGTTAAAATATGTCCAGTTTTTAATTAAAAAATATGTGCATTATTTGCACACCATTCTCCACAAATGGAGATAGACAAACAGTGGGTTCATGCTACTTTGTTTACTGAGAATGGCATGCCTATGCACAGCTTCTTGTGGCGATTTTTATATAGCCCATTGTAATGCAAATAAACTACTTAGTATTTTGCGCTTTAAGCAACTTGTAATAACTTATTCTCTGATGTTCTTGTTGCTTGTGAAACTTTTATATGATTTTATTGCTCATCCTTGCAATAAGTTTAACCCCTAAATTACTTTGTTTCCTCTATGCAGTTTCCCAAGTTCGAGTTTTATGACCCAAAGACACCTTTCTATACATCTCCTCGATACTTACCACCAACCAAAATTGACAAATGCAGGGTATGATTGTCTACTTTGGATTAAAACTATGGCACTTAAATTCTTCCTTCTCATGTTTCAGTCTGTTTATGCAGATTAAAGATGCATTAATCTCCCATGGATGCTTCTTGCGAGAATGTAGTGTCCAACACTCTGTAGTAGGTGAACGCTCGCGATTGGACTTTGGTGTTGAGCTTCAGGTGAATTTCCATGGTTTCCCAGTTTAAGCAAACTAGTTTCTTTAAACTTTGTAGTTGGCTGGACATTTGTTAACTCCTTTCTATCAACAGGACACAGTAATGTTGGGAGCAGACTGTTACCAAACTGAATCTGAAATTGCATCTCTACTTGCAGAGGGTAAGGTCCCGATCGGAATTGGACGCAATACCAAAATCAGGTAATTTAACATGGAGAACAAAATTCAGAGAGTTGAATGAAATATCAGAATCGTGTCTTCTGAAAATGTATGTTATTTGTTTTTTTAGGAGCTGCATTATTGACAAGAATGCTAAGATAGGGAAAGATGTGGTCATTGTGAACAAAGCTGTAAGCATACTATCCATACTCATCCTTGTATTGTTATTCCACTTCAAATATTTCTGCATTTATTAAAGCATCAACAAACTGCTGTTTCTTTTTATAGGGTGTTCAAGAAGCGGCTAGGCCAGAGGAAGGATTTTATATCCGGTCAGGAATCACCATCATACTAGAGAAGGCAACGATAGAAGATGGTACAGTTATATAAATGGATCTTAAATACTTCCATGGATAGCTCAGAGATTGTAGTTGAAGGTGCACCATAGAAAGCAATCATGAACGTCTAGTGGAAGAGGGTCTGAAGATGGGATTTGCAGCATTTTGGCACAGAAAGAAAAACAAGCTGCATTTCTATCGGTTACTTTTTTATGTAAATTATAAGTTCTTTCTGCAATGTAAAATAGCTGTTAGATATCATAGAAGTAAGTTCCCAGAATAAATCAGACGGCTTAGTAGGCCGTTGTTTCTTTCTTTGTAAAATCTTTTGAGAGACTGAATGGCCGATGCTTGTCAATATCATTATACAATAATAAGTAGGTCATTCTCTTGACTCTGTGACTGTGAGGGCACCGTTTCTCAGTTTTGGTCCTTAATCTATATACAAGGCCATTTTACTTTTTAGGCCCTTTTGTGAATTGAAAACATCTACCTCCTCGAGAAGGGGCAAAGGAAGAACATTAAAATAGGACACAATTCACCTTTCAATCGCCATTATTCTGCCAATCTTACCAGCGAATCTCAAGAATCAAAGCGATTGTTCCACGTGTTAGATCACCTTTGACACTAATGTTTTGTCTCCGCACGTGGCCTGGTTAAGATATTTGTCCAAATGCATGAAAGTGAGAGAAAGATAGAAGGAGAAAAGAACGAGTTGGGCACAACTGAAACGATAAAGGACGTGAAAAGGACATAGTAAGCCCAAATCCCAATCACGATGCACGAAACGAGAAGAGCAGATTTGCGACGACTGAAAGGTGTAATGAAGCAGACAGAAGAGACCGCCACGGCTGATGACGTTTAAATGAAAACAAACCTGAAAATGGATTCAGTTAGTGCCCTTCAACTTTTTCTTGATCGTATCCCCATTAAGAGTTCAATCCCTGTCATAAAAAAACGCACCTGGTAATTATTTTTGTGACACATGTTGATATTTATTGACAATTTGGTTCGAATCCAACTCCGTTTCTTTGAATACACAATTGTGAGTATGGTATTTATCATTCTTTCTCATCTGTATTAGCAAGTGGTGGAGTTGAAAACTGAGGATAATAATGTGAAGGATGCAACAGAGTTGTTGAACACAAAGAATGCACACCCCCCCCCCCCCCCCGGATACCACATTAGGCAGATTTTCAGATCGGTACATTGGTTTGACAGATTTTGCTACCATGGTTCTCAGATCCCTTGAGGAAATCTGACTTCACGTTTTTTTTTTTTTTAATGTATTTGATATATAAAATTATGATAAGATAAAATAAGATGATATTATAAATTAAATTAAATTAAATAATATCATATGATCTTATATATTATGTTTTAAAGATTAAGATTAAATAATTTATTTATTAATTAAAATTATTTTTTAAAAAAATTAATATAATTAAATTATTGATATAATTTTTAAAGATAAAATAAGATATATAAATTCAATCTCATATATTAAAAATAATCTCTACTTTAAAAAAATTAAATCATCATAAACTAAAATAATAATCAATCTTTCTTATAACCTTATTAATTTTCTTAAATACAAATCAAATATAATATAAAATAATTAACATTTCATCTTATTTATCATTTTTTACATCAAATATCACCTTATTTTACTGAATTACATTATCACCAACTTGCATCATTCATTCTCTCTCTCTTTCTTTCTCTCTCTCTCTCTCTCCAAATGCGTCATGTTACGAAAAAATGTGAAAAACTCATATCCTACTTGATGAGTGTGGTGTACAATTTTTGCTACTTAAGCTTTATTTGGATGAATAATAAAATTAATTACGGTAATATTAAAATAATAATAATAATTATTGTAATTATAATTTAAAAAATATTATAAGTATGATTAAAAATAATTTTTTTTGTAAAAAAATTTATACTAAATAAATATTAAAATTAAATTTTAAATTCAACTGATAACACGATGCTTTCAATCACATTGCACCGAAATTTCGATGGAATCCAAATGGTAGCCAATCTTTTTTGTTTTTTTAAAATCAAGAAAGAGTTAAGTAGAAAGCAATAAACCATGGGTGGAGGTTGCAGTGAGTAATTCTTAGCTGAAAAACAAACTGCCCTAACCTTTGGATTTATAATATGGCTCGACAATTCCTACTTGTCAATGTGTTGCATGATTCAACAGCTCTCTCAAAACCTCCATTTACAGCCGAAGAAATTAGTGAAAGAAAAATAAGGTCCAGATGTTATGTGTTGCCATCATGATATATCACCAAAATAGTAATCGTATTGTTCCAAGGCTAGCTGTAAATTACAAAAGCGCGGAAACCACTTAAATGCAAACTTAATAATAACATACCCGATTCATTATTACAAAATTTACTCCCATACACTTATGAAGATTCACAGCTTCCTTGCTTATCATTTCTTCAGTTCATTGGTCTTTTATTTCAAGTAATTTTTGGAGGACCAAAACAGGAAATATCATGTAGAGTTCTTCAAACTTACAAGATAAAATGATAGCCGTTGAGTAATTCAAGACAAAAGGCCTCTGTAAGATTCTTCCATAAATAACCCAGCTAGAAAAACTTTTCCCTTTGATGTAAAGGTGGCATGAAATGTATGCAGGAAGGAAACATAACTAGGGAGCATTCTGACTTCACATTCCTGTCAAAGATCTTATAGATATGTAATATGGATGGGGCAAGCATTTCTTCCTCTCAGCAACAAATGACACCACCAACACTACTAGCATCACCTAATAGGTCAATTTGTTTTTCCCACCATGAATAGTTTTTAGCTAGAATTACCTCAAAATCCTTCACGCGTTCCAAAAAATCAAAGACCCCCTTCTTCTAAACGCACAAGGGTGAAAACTGTTAATGGCCTTCCCCACCAGAGCCATAGCTGCAATGCTCGGAAACTGCTTCTTTTGGAGTTCATCCAATGTTGCCTTTGAGCTCTGTGATTCACATAGCACCATAACATCAGGCTTCTTCTTTGGAGATGCAGCTCTTTGACGACACCATCTGTAAATCCAAGAACGTGAAAGAGATATTTCTTGACTTTTCCTCACTGAATCAGTGGAAGTGGAGTCACCTTTCTTTAATATCACCGCAGTTTGATCGAGTGTCAGTTGTGGTCTCGCATGGCTTCTAACTAATGTGGGCTCTGAACTAGTTTTGCTGATGTTGTTAGCCTTTACACGGGATGAAACTTCTTCAATTTTAGAGCTCTTAGTACCATGAGCAAGAGGATCTGAAGTGCTCAACTTGAGACGTTTAACCCATCTGCTGCTTGCCTCTGGCCACAGAGGATCATCTGGACAAGCATTGGTATTGGAATTTGAAGGCTGCTCAGCATGGCAAAGGAGATGCTGTGCATCTAAACTCTGGGTTCTTGAGGTGCTTGTCCCTTCATCATCTATCGAGTTTGCCACAGCTGGAAGTGCAGGAAGCCCTTCATTCATATCAGGTAATTCAGTTTTGGCCATTTTGTTCCCAGCTTCTTCTCCAGTAGCATTCTCAGTTTCAGATAACGATGAATTATGAATTCCCTTGATGTTCTGCAAAATTAACAAGAAACTTAACAAGTAGTTATGTCTAATTTTAAAAGCTCAATTAGAAAGATTTAGACTTTTCGTACAGAAAGAGATATAATTTCGGTATGCTATGCTCCTAGGATCCAATGAAGCTTGGAACCAATGGCTGGATGATACTTGATACAGCAATCTGTAAACTTAGAATGTAACAAATTTTCTGCCATTGAAAATGGTTCTTAAGGTAATTTTTTATTTATCTAGCAGGACAGTACACGCCCAAATTACTTTGATAAGGACCAATGAACACATGTAACCTCCACCTACCTATGCCTTACTTGCATCAGTCGATAATGACCAAACTAAAACAGTAATCTTCAAGAAAACAATCTATAATATATATATATATAGAATATCAAGAACATGTTGCTCAAAAACAATTGGGTCTAACCAAACAAGTAATCATCGAAAAACTACCATTACCTTAAAGCTACTCCTGATCTGATTAAATGTTTTACATAGTAAAAGAGAAAATGGCAAGAATTACCTGATCTGGTGGACATAAAGCCACACCTGCAACATAAGTAAACCTATTAAAATATGCATAGAATACTGAAAGACTAAGTAAATATAACATTAACTGAGTTAGCAGATATTTCTATGCCTAACTTTCTAATCAGTCTGATGTGAGATTTTATAATATACAGTTCCATTCACTTCATGATTACAGAGGTAACATGAATACGTACTTGAAAGATGGCTCTTCTGGAAAACATCCAATTCCATAGCATCAGTTTCAACTGATGATTCATTCTTCAAACAAACAATAGAAGTTCTGATGTCTCCCACATTTTCTTTTCCTTCAGTATCTGTGGAGCTCTCCAGAGGCTGCAGTTTCACTCCTTGCTGACCACGGAAACTGAAACTGGGAGCTAAGCTCAGGAACTCATTGAACATATTTCCCTTCAATTTGGGGGAGACTATGGCATCTCTGAACGCTTGTCCTCCTTCAGTTAAGTTAACACCAGTCTTCTTTGCAATAAAAAATTGGTGAGTTGTCTGAGAAAACTTGGAAGGACCTCGGGGTAATTCTTCCACAGAACCTATAGTAGTACATATTCTCATAGTCTTGACATCATGAAAAGAACGAGGTATTCTTGGCACCAAGAAATGTTCATCGTATGCTTTTCCTGATTTTATCGCCTCAGGACAGCCCAAGCTTGGAAGCAATCTAATACTATAATTATTTTCCACCTTCTGACTCTGTTTATTCTGACTATTATTTCTTGACTGATCATGAAGTAATAGAGGTGCATCATTCTCCGTAGAGAATGAACTCCCCAGTTTTCTGGGCTTGGAAAGGGCATCTGCTTTCTTCTCATGGACCCAAAAGGTAGAATAGCTGCAAAATTTATCATCCGTGAAGTGTTCTTTGGATGCTACAACAGGGCTTGATTGATCAATGTTTTCACGTTGACACGTGAAGGATTGCGTTGGAGCCACTCCACTATTCACTACATATGGTACAATTTTAGAACGTGACCCGACATCATCCTGAAAAGATGCTGAAACAGCTAAGCTGTTTTCTTCAAGAAATTTATGAGATTTCACCAGCTGCTCAGGAACACGTGAAATGCCTTCAGGAAATTTACATTCTCTAGAAGGACATTCCATTTCAGGATAAGCCCACTCACTTGTACCCATAGTAATAGAGTTATGGCCTTCATTGAGATCGATTTGATACTTTACTGCCTCACCATTGGACCACGTACCTGCATTATTCTGTGAAAACGTAGCACTCTCCGTATTCCCTGAATTGGTGAACATTGGAAGGGGCTGTCCATCTAAAATTTCTTTCTCCAACATCATTGAACCCGTTTTCAGACTCTTCTTCATGGTGTCAATTGTTCTGGCTTCGGAAACTTCTCTAAATCCTTGAGAATATCTCGAAATAGTGGTTGCCATTTCAGGCTCAGAAAGCAAAGGATGCTTCTTAGAATCGTCATGATCATCTTTTTTTTGTCCAAGACAGTGCTGTGAATGATTGTGAACCTCAGTGGATGGTTTATGCCTTTTATGCTTCCAATGATCCATCCAAGCGGCTTGGTAATGATTTATAGATTGCCTAGTTGTTCCATCACTATCAGGTTCTGATTTTGCAACACGATCAGACATCAGATGATCCAATTCTATTTTAATTTGAGATGAATCCGTCTTAAAGGCTCATTGTACCTTACCTGAAAATGCAATTCAGCTAACACTATCAGACATAACATCTATGAGGTTTCAAAACAAAATTACAAAAAAGATTGAAATAAAAACAATCAAAATCTAGTGCTCATAAGGCCAGTATATATAGTCTATGGGAAATTAAGGGTCATACAACATATGCATAACCAATTATTTGCACACGTCCTACAGTCCTTTCTCCATGGACTAACTTGAAAGAGTAGCTCAAGATGATTTGATTTCTGATGGTTTAACATTAGCAATAGCATTGCTCCTGTTCTTGATAGATATTCTCAGTAAGCCAGTAATGAAAAAACAAAATGGGACCTTCAGGTATGTGTCTGATTACTCAGTTCATCCCATCAAGCTGAGATCCTCAGAAGCATGAATTAGAAACCTTAAGGTTGAAGCAGCCAAATTTTTTTTTTTAATTTTGGTTACATGAGGACAACACTTCAACATAAAGAACAAGAAAATAGAACAAAAAAGACCACTTACCAACCCTTTAATTCTCCTTTTACCACTACCAATAAAACGAACTCTACTGTTCAGTCGGCAACATTAGAATCATAATTCATAAACTTTTCAAACAGAGAAGGAGAAAAACTTGAACCAAAAGAACTAAATCAAGTAACCAAGCTCCAAGCTTAGATCAAACAACAATAGAACGAGCTGAAAATTCATACACATACAAGCATACTAAAAATAAGCAGTTTTAAAGAAAGTAAGAAATGGGTAATTGTTAAAAACATAATCAAAATTAACTTCAACCTTGTAAAGACTCACCTCAATACTGAAAGTAAAAGAGAAAGAAGAATCAGAGATAGTGAAAAAGAAAGAAGACCAAGCAAAAGAGCAACAGTGGAACACAGCTCCAGGAAGAAGATGAGATCACAAATCAAGATATAAAATAAAATGAAAACTTAATTGTTTGGTTAAATAGGGGAAATAAAATACGAATTTGTGGACAGGGAAAGAGAGATACAGGAAGAAACAGAGAGAAAGTGAAGAAGGAAAAAGAAAGAATCTTCAAAAGCCGACGAGCCACATTTATATCTCTTCAGAGTCGAGCCGACGAAATTTGGGAGCTGAAATAAACACGCGTCCCACTTACTTGCACTTTTCCAATTGGTCCTTCCCTTTTTTTTTTTTTTTCTTTGACTTTGTTGGACTTTTTTTTTTATTTATTTGTAAGATTATTGTATTCCTGTTCAGGAGTCACAAAATTATCTTCTAATTGATTTTTTTTAATTTAATGAAAAATAATAAAATGAGCAATTTTTAAAATAAATTGAATTTCATGTGATTGATTCAATTAGTTAAGATTTATTTTTTTCAATAAAAAAATTAGGTTTGAGTTTTGTCAATAATCATTTATTATGATCATTTCAAATGTACGATTTATAGTCACATATCTTAAACTGTCAAATATAACATATCTTATTCTGACTTAAAAATTTGAATAATTTATCTATTCCAAATTTTTTACTACCAAAAAAATAGATTGAATTTCTTTTCTCCCTTATTAACTAATAAATATTAATTTTAAGAAGCGAAAATTTTATTATTTTATTTAAAAATGAATAATGTATTTTTCATTAAATTTATTATTTATTTAAATTATTTTTTAATTAATTTTTTTATTTGATTTAAAATCATTAATATTTCATATAAAATTTTAATTAAAAATAAATTATTCGTTCTTAAATAAAAAATAGTAAAAACTTTTACTTTTTTAAATAGTAAAAAGATATTTCTCAAAAAAATATTCAAATATAAATTTTATTTTCATCATTCCAAAATTTATTAAACAATGCAAACAAGTTATGGATAATTTTTTTTTTCTCTCTTTTCACGAAAAAAACTTACAATACCGTTCAAATTTATATTTATTAAAAAATGTAGTATAAATTTAAAAAAAAGCTTATTCTATTCACATATATTTTTTTAGTGAGATTAACAAATGGTTTGTTCAATCGGTTAAATTTATCTTTTTCGATGAAAAGGTCTTTGATTCGAGTACTATCTGTGGTCACTGGTTAAGATTATCTCAAATGCATAACTTTCAGTTATCTATCTTAAGTTGTCAGATACGATATATCTTATTTTAACTTAAAGGATTGAATAATTTATCTACTTTCAAAATTTTCTTACAAAAAAAAATTTTTTTAGTGAGATTTCACAAATCCAATAAACAAAAATGGTAACAAAATGACAGTAATTAAATACGATTAATCAATTACCAAAATTATTTTTATTTTTGAAAAAGTTTGGTTAGTTAAATAATCCTGTTTTTAGACAAATAAAAAAATTAATTTAAATTCACCCGTAATTACCATTAGATTGTCTCTTTAATTATTTTTCATCTTGATAGGTAGGTTTTTCAATCTAGCAATATATATGATGTTGTGATTTATCGTAAATACATTAAAACTTGTACTCGATTATAGCATTATAAGTGAATATTAGTGTTATCAATAGTTTTTGCAAGTGAAACTTTAGAGTGCTAGAATGATAAATGATGGATGGACGGATGCAACTCTTGTCATTCAATTGGATTGACATCGTTTTCACATTTTAGTCGAGGATTGTTGTTAATATAAAGAAGAATGATGGATGGTACTACAAATTCATTATAGATTGCGAGAAAAAAATCGGTGTGTTGAATTGTTGATTTGCCTATAAAACTAGTGTATGGTACAAATTTAAGAGTTATTACACTGTTAAAATCTAATGATGGTAACGGATCAGGTTGGAATGAATTTTTGTTCTTTTTAAACTTGATCTAACTTGATAAAATTTTTATTATTTTTATATTCGAATTTGATTCGATCCAACTTAAAATTAATAAAATATTATTTTTAAAAATATAAAATATTTATTTTTAATATAAATATACAATTAAAATAAAATAATTAAAAAAATAAAAATATATATATTGGGTCAGGTAGAATTAGATTTATCTAAAACTCGACTCCGATCTGATCTCAATTTTTTTTACCACCCTATCTGATCCGACCTGATATCTAATTTTCAAAAAAAAAAAACTTAAGAGATCGGGTTGGATCGAAACCCATCAATTTTGGATTTTTTTGCCTTCTCTACTAAAATCTCTAATTTGTATCTTTAGTTTTTTTTTTTTTTTTTATGAGATGAAATGTTTTAAGGATTTAATTTCATTTTAGATTTTTTAGTACCAAATATATATATTGATGTTAATTCATTTTTTGTTATTTTTTAAAAATTTAATGACATTTAACAAATGAATGAAACTTTTTATTGAAATTTATACTTTTAATTTTTTTTACGAGTAAAAACTTTATTGGCTCTTACGAATTTTGGATGGATGACATTATAGGTATTTGTATTGGAGTAATTTTATTTATTTTTTATATATTTATGTGAATCGTTTTTCTATCTAATAAGTAGGAAAAAGGTTAAAATTTTGCATTTTATCAAATTCATATAAATGATAAAAAAATTTATATAAAGAATGCCTAAAATTATATAATAATTATTACATTCAATATAGTATGAAAGATTAGATTTTTTTGTAAATTAATTTAAATTATACATTAAAAACTATTTAAAAATATACACGGGTCTAAATATTGAAATTATATCTATCTTTCTCTTATTAACGATTTTATTATTGAACTTGTAATTTAAAAATTCCAAAATATTATTAATATTACTTTTTAAAAGGTTAATAAAGCAGGAAAATAAATTACAAGTTTAATATCCAATTGATAAAAAAGAAGAGTTCTTTTTTCTTGGCAATCATAGTTTGATCGTTATAATAATAATACACATGTTATAAAATCTTAAATTTACCTAACCAGGAAAAAAAAATTCTACAAAAAACCTAAAGACACCTCCAACTGTAAATTAGAAAAAAAAAAAAAAGAGTTCAATAATACTTAAACTTTTCATATACAAATGTTACTTTGATTATAGTTTTTATAATGTGGGTTTTCTATTAAAGAAAGAGGAAAACCATTCCATTAGTATATTGACAAAGATTAAATGAAGATACGAAGTTATTTAAGTGAAATTTGTAAAATTTTTATAAAAATAATTTAATAAAAATTTAAATCGATAAATTATTATAATTTTATATGAAGATTAATAATATGTAAAAAAATTAAAAAATATTATTTATAATTTAAAATTTTGTTAAAATTTTTATTAAAAATATTTATCTAAAAAATATATAAATATTTTTTAAAATTTTTAAATTTTATATATTTGATCTATATAATAAAAATTCCAATTTATTTATTTTGATTTTAATTTTAATTTTAATTTAATTATTTTTAATATAAAATTTTACTAACTTTACTTAAAAAATTTTCCTACAAATTTTTTTTCTTATATCTATCCAACCAAAATAATCTTTGGATCGGGCTCTCCATAATCCAAATCCATTTAAATTTTTGTTCTCTTTACCTTTCCCTAACAATAAAAGAAATGAAAAAAAAAAAAAAAAAAAACCCGCTGGTCATGACTCGTGAGTCAAGGTGCACCCAAGCTGGCGAGGTTGAACGGAAACGGAAAGAGCATGGTGCAACCGGGCAAGGCAGGCAGGCGACTGTGGTTGAGCTCGGCTGGATGGATGAAGAGTTGAGCCGAGCCCTTCATTTCAAATGATCAGCACATGGTGGACGGCTGAACTGTAACGCAACCTATCCCAAGACCAAGCAAATGAAGATTTGGCTATCCTTCGTCCACGTCATCATATGACAACTCCACTCATCCCAATCTCTGTTTCTTAAAAAATGCTAAGTGCTTAATCACAGTGTGAGTAAATCGTAAATAAAATTAGATTCATTTCCTTTTCCACAAAATCAGTCACCCTCAATCAATCAATAAAAGTAAGACCATTAATCTTCTTCCACCTATCCATTAAAGTTTAGGCTAGCCAAACATTAATAATGTTTATGTCATGACCAAATTCGATCCGTAATGATACTTTTATTTTTAAACAGAAAAATAAATTATTTGAATTAAGATTTAAATTATAGATATATTAAATAATATTTTTAAAAAATAATTATATAAATTAATTAAAGTAATTTTTAAATTCATTTAATAATAGTTATATGTATCTTTTTATTTAAATAAATTAAATTTATTAACAAGAGATTAACTCAATTCTCTTAACTTTTTTTATTATAATATATTTAATTTTGAATTTTGAATTTATTATTCGTCTTGAGAGAGTAAATGACATCCCCTCAATAAATTAAATCCCCTTTTTCAATTCCACATATTTGTCGATCTCAACTTGATATGATTACATTAATACTTGATAGTTTAATTGTTGAACTCAAATATCACATTCGTATAATTTTATCTTAATAATTGTTATACATTATTTAAATGATAAGATTTAATGTTTAAGTTCTCAATCATTTAAATTTTTTTCATATGTATGAAAGAAAAAAAAAGATGGATTTTAGCTAAATATAGATTACTTTTTAAAACTCGAATTTAAATAAATAAAACTCACATAAAAATTTAAATCTTCACCAAATTGGTGAGATATATAACCTAATAGCATTATTTTAAAATAAGCAAAAAAAGGGAAAAAGGCTCTCGTATTTTTAATTCTATGAAATCTTATCTAACATAAAAGAGTTGATAATTTGGTTATCCTCAATTTTATTTTATAGTATGATTTATTTAAATGAATAATGAAATTAATTTTGATTAGAATGATACGAATGATAATAAAATTATGTATTAAAATAATAAAATAAAAATAAATGATGTAATATATATTTGAACACAAATTTAACAATAATAATGAAATTAGATATAATAATTATTATTAAATTAATGATAATTAATTATCATGTTTAAAAATAAAACAGTCGAGTGCTTGATAAAAACAATCAATTAGCATAATTAAAAAATATATTTTATTTTAATTTTACAATAATAATCCAATACCTTAGATAAAGAAATCAATTATTCCAAGCTCTAGTGAATAATTGTACTTTTTTCCTATAATTAGAGACTGAGAGAATAATTGTTTTTTCGCTTTTTATTCTTAAACAAGAAGAACAGTTTCCAGAGTCCAAAGCTTAACAGCGAAGAGTCCTTTGAGGTTCGAATTGTCGGGCTGACCCAAAATTGAAGAATTTAAACATGTATAGTTTTGATATCGTATCTAGATTCAGACCGGTCCATAAATTCTTATATTTTTTATGAAATTTATAGACCAAAACAAGAGTAAACATATTCCTTTGTATACATACGGTAAAAGTTAATAATAGCTATGTTGTTTTATTCAAGGAAGTTACCTTCGTTAGTGAGGAGTTGGTTCAATTGGCCGAGCTAGCTCTCTCGCTATAAAATGTTTGGGTTAGAATCTTGTTAGTGCCTCTCGTTGGTGCTAATCTTGAACATGGACAAAAATGTTTTCCAGGTGCACATCTTGTCATTATCTGGCAGATGGAACAACTCTCCTCCCCGTATTTTTCACACACAAAAAGTGTTAAATTCGAATCTTCTATCTCTAAAATTGAAAAAAAAAAAAAAGAAAATACAAATACTTTATTCCACTTTTGGTCCAATCATTGTTAGGCTGCAAAGTGCATAACGGATAAAAATAGCTTCCATATCTAAGCTTGTAGTGACCAGGAGGCCCATTAAAATCTATGAATCCATTTGGGTCAGAGGGCTCCGCCCCATTGGTCATATTACCAAGTCAAATTTGGATTGCTTTTGAAAAGGCTACTCAAGACTACTAATTCGTGCCAAGCCAGACGACTCCAACGACGTTATGTCATTTAGTAGCAGAACTGGGTGAACCAGCCCATCACAAACTGGTCGGCCTCGACTCGAGATGATTCTGACAATGCCCGAGACTTTTAATTGTCAAATACAAATATCCAACCCCCTAGAATTTTAACCTAACAAGTAATTTATTCTTTAAATGATAAGAATTAATGTTTAAATTCCCTATCCATTTAGATTTTTTTTCCATAAATATCGAAAAGTAAACAGTTTATAATTTTTTTAACTTAAATTTAGATCTTCACCAAATTAGTAAAATATTTAATCTCGTAACGATATTATAAGAGGCCAATATATATATATATATATATATTAGATAAATTATATTTTATTTATTCAAAAGAATCAATAAAATTATTACAGTACAAATATTTCATATATACAATCAAATTATATTTTAATTATTATGTAATATAATTTTATTTATATTATAAGCATCACACAAAAATTTGTTGACTAGGTCAACAACAATCGAATGTAATTTATATAATCGAATCATAACAATTTATTTAATCAGCTCATACACTTGTTTTTTTTATTTTTTCTTTGTTATTGAATAATCTATGGTTCATTTCTTTCTATATATAGTATATATGAATATTCCAAACAAATCGCAATACTATTAATATCAGTGTCTTGTCTTTTATCTTTGTCACTATCCATTTAAATTCTTCAATCCACTCCTCAACCACTCTATCAATCTTGTATAATTGTGATACCCTTTTTCACACAATTTTTGCATATTCATAACAAAAAAATAGGTGATCATTGGATTCCTTTCCATGTTGACATAGGCAGCATTTTTTATCCACCTTCACTTTTCAATTCCTCAATTTATCTTGTGTTGAAAGTCTATTTAGTATAGTCATCAATGCAATCATCGAGTGTTTCAAGATGTGAAATTGAAATTAGATTAATTTATGCTACTCAATTTTCTTTTGCTTATACCTTATTTAATTTCAAACCACTGTAATAAAATAGCCATTGTTAGGAATAGACCACACCTTGATACTATTTTATTGTTTTATGAATTAACGTGCAATAATTTGGAGTTAAAATATATATATATATATATTATTCATATTTAACTTTATGAGTATTTTATCAACTATCAAAAGACTTGCAATTTGGTTTTTACTATATTGAGTATCTCTTTTCCTCCAAATTTATTTGATTGTAAATCAATTCAATTACTTGTCTAAAATATGTTTTATGGTTCTAAATATTGGCTTGAATTGCTGATCCATTTCTAAACAAAAGTTTGGGAGTTTGAATATGAGTTGACTTGAAAATAAAAAAATTTTATTTAAATTTAATTATAAACTATATAAAATATTAATATAAAAATAAATTTTAAATAATAATTAGTTTTTTCGAGACTTACGAGTGAGGAACCTTAAACAAAAAATTTCAAAACTTAATTGAACCTAATCTGATTAGAGATGTTAATTTTATACATATTTGATAAAAAATTAATTTTTTATTTGAATAAAAATGATAATGAATATTACATTATAGGTATAGAGATGTAAATGAATATAATTTTAAAATTTCATTAAGTATAAAGATATAAACAATAATATAGTACTCGTTTGGTATCCATACCTTATATATATTTATATATATTTAATAAATAAAATTTTTATTAAATAATATAAATTATTATATTAAATTAATTAAAATTAATATATTTTTATCAAAAAATTAATATATATTTATAAAAAATGATCTAACTATACAAAATAAAAATAAGAAAACTAAAAAAGTAAATTTTTATTTTAATTTTAAAAAAAGTATAGATACAAAGATTACCTATACATATTAAATATCTATAAAAATGAAAATAAAAATAAATTTAAAAATTTCATTAAACATAAATATAAAAATAAAAAATATTCTACCATTTTCGTACTTTACCCATTCCCATCCTTAAATCTGATTCAATCGACCCGGAATAAGTCTACTTGTCTGATCACATCTGGACAATTAACCAAGTCCAGTCAACCCCTTTTCAGCACACAAAAAATACAATACAAAAGTATAAAAAAAACCCGAAAAACTCTAGCAAGCTGTCAAATTTATTTAATTACTTATTATATTTACAAATTTATTGGAATTAGAAAAATAAACAAATCTTATTAAAATTACCAAAAACATGGCAAAGACCGCGGTATCGATAAAGCTAAACTTTCATAAAAAGCATATTCTTTCCGATTTGAACTTTCAACAACGCCGTTTTGTCAATTAGTGTTCAAGCCGCGTCACAGTCGGTAAAAACAAAAGAAACCCGAATTTCCCATCAACGGTCAGAAAAAAAATAAGAAGGTGAAAATATCTATAAAGACGAAAAGGAAAATACCCATCTGGCCATCACCCAATCGATCTGCCCGTTTTTCGCTTCGGATTCTCAGGAAGGAAAACGATTTCTTAGAGTCCAAAGCTTAACAACGGAGAGTCCTTTGAGGTCAGCCTCTTTTTCAACTTTTTTATCTGTCTTTTAAAGCATTTTTTTTTTTAAGTTTTGTGTTGGTTGTTATTTTTAAGGATTTAAATTAACTTTTTCATGTTAATGTTAGATTCTTTATTTTTTCATCGATTTTATGCTATGTAAATCTAGGGTTTTGGTTGTTCGGGATTTGGGTTTTTCAAAGCTTAGTTCTTTTTACGAACTCTAGGTTATTGTTTGGTTGGTGAGAAAGATGAGAGAAAGTTTTGGGATCTCATGTTCTTTTGGTATCTTTTGGTTTTTTGTGATGGTTGATTATTTGTTGCGTTTAGTTGGTGGGTTTTGTTTTTATCTTGTTCCAATATTCTGGAAATGATATTTTTTGTGCATTTTCTTGGTAAACAAACAGTTCATTAGGGTTTTATCTGCATTGGATAATGACTTGCTATTTTGCTTTGTATTTTGTTGCACATGGCCATACGCGGTGATATCTGATGATTTACTGCTAGTAGTAAATCGATGGAGTTTTTAATTAAGTATCGAGTTTATGAGTATTTACTTATAAGTATAATATTTTTGAAAACTTAATAAATCTTTGTGCTTAAGTTGATTGGATTCTGTTTTTGTAATGTAGGATTTGAAGCTAATATTGAATGGAGGGAATTGGGGGGGACGGTGCATCAGTTGCATCTCCTTTGCCTCAATGGGGCCACGATGCTTGGAGGATGTATCGGTATTATCTGGATAAGACTACTCCTCATACAGCATATAGGTGGATTGGAACCCTTGTTATAGCAGCTATCTACTGTTTGCGTGTCTATTATGTTCAAGGGTTTTACATAGTTTCATATGGCCTTGGGATCTACCTGCTGAATTTGCTTATTGGATTTTTGTCTCCTCTGGTTGATCCTGAACTTGAAGTTTCTGATGGGCCTTTATTGCCAACAAAAGGTTCAGATGAATTCAAGCCGTTTATTCGTAGGCTACCTGAATTTAAGTTCTGGTAATAAAAAATTTATCTTTGGCTTCTTGTCTTTAATGATACTTTATGTGTTACTAAAACAATTTATTGTTGGTGTTTGTTCCTTTTTGTGTTATGTGCCAAAGTCTTTTGTGATTTGGTTATTAAGGGAAACAATCTTCTTAAGGTTTATTGACCTATTTATTCAAAGTAAAAAACACTGATTTTTGGGATGGATGGAAACTTGCCCTTTATTATTTACTAAAAAAGAAAAGATAGCTGCAATCAATAGATGCCCATGTGTTGGTGTGATCTTTGATGCCTTTTCGTTATTGATGAAGCTTGGGGAACACCAGAGCTTGATTTGATATATTAACTTAAAGATGGCTTACTTTATTGTGGTGTGATGATAGTATCTTGCATTTAATTGAAATTAAGGTCTAATTTTTTGTTGTTTGATGTTTGACTTTTTAAATCTCTTGATAGAGTAAAAATATTTATAAAGAAAGCTTTGGTATGTAGCATTCGTTCCTGTCTTAACTAATTGCAGTATAAGATAGCATAAAAATTTCTTGGACATTAAAATATTTCTAAGATTGAGACTTTGTCATTCTACCTAGTGTGTTTACCATACTTGCTGTATTAGAGTACAACAATTCAACCATGATTTTCTGTAGCAATCTTGCATTATAAGCACAAGTGATAACCAGCAGGAATGGTGCTCTACTTGAAGTTTCTGATTCTGGAAATTTAGGAGAATATGCTCGAAAGAATTTGCTCTTATCTGTCAATTTCATTAGCCATTACATTGTCATTGTCAATCACTCAATCTTATGCATTTCACTGTTTCTTCGGAATGTAAAAGCTTTTATCTATTTATTTATTTTCCAAAGAATTACAGCTTAGAAAAGTGTTTCTGTTTATAGAATAGAAATGTGATACTAGTTGTGAGTGGACTTATGTTATGATTGACAATAGTCAACAAATTTCTCTACCATTTGGACCTTTGTTGTCTTGCTTGAGATCTGTATGAATTTGTGCTTAATGAATGGGTATTTAAATATGGATTGTTTTATGATTTTTCCAGGTACTCCATGACCAAGGCTTTCTGCATAGCATTTGCCATGACTTTCTTTTCCGTATTTGATGTTCCTGTCTTTTGGCCTATATTGCTTTGTTATTGGATTGTCCTTTTTGCCCTTACAATGAGGCGTCAGATTGCACACATGATCAAATACAAGTATATCCCATTCAACATTGGAAAGCAGGTCAGCTTCAGCCTTCAAATGAAAAAATTTATTTCTACTCTTATAATTGCGACTACATCAGCGTCTTTTGCTTGTACTTTTAATTACTAGTGGCAACAGGGAAGTCTATGTTTGTCCACTTGAAAGATAACACTCTTTTTCTTCTCTCTTATACAGAAGTACACCGGTAAGAAAGCTTCTGCAAGTAGCAGTGGCTCCCGTGGGGATTGAAGCTTGGCTGGTTCACAGGGGATGATAATTCTTGATAATTGGTTTTCACCTTTGGAGGAGATGCATTTTTATTGTTATGGATTTTTTAATTAGTTACTACAAGCATAAGTTCAGTTGCCCCTGTGAAGAAGTGCTGACATTCCAGATTTGGAACTTTATTATTTATACACGTGGTGATGAAGATTTGATCAAAGTTTTTGAGATTATTGACAAGTAATTTGTACAACAAAATATTGTTTCACTCCTGTGCTCTTCTATGTTTCTAGTAGCTAATTGTTAGCGACAAGACCAAATTTCTTATCAGGAGCCATCACTGGCATATTGTAGGCATGAGTTATCTTTCATTTTGTACTCGATGGGTGCAAGTACAAAACTGCAGTTCTTCCTTGATTGCATTGCACACTATTTGGATCCTTATTTTTTTTTTTTCTCAAACTGTTTTCCAAATTCATTGCAAAACTGAAATTCTATTTGAACGGAGAGAAGGCTGTGTTCTTCAACCTAGTGTTAAATATGAAATGCTTGCTTGGACGTGTGTTTCCAAGAGGATGGTTTTGAGGCCCAACCCAATTTGAGACTCAGTAATCAGTCTCCAGTGTCCATGAAGTTTCTACTTACCAAGGCCCATCCCAATGGTAAAGACCCAATAATTGCAAAAACAAAACCCTAAAATCCAAAGTCAGTTTATTTATTGAGATATTTAAACCCCGAGTCCCCTCACATCCTTTTTTCCTACCATCTGCTTCTTCTTCGTGTAGCTGCGGTTGGACTTTCCATTCGGTTGAAGTCAGGATATGGGTAAAGTGAAAGGAAAGCACAGGTTAGATAAGTACTACCAACTAGCCAAGGAACATGGCTACCGTTCCAGAGCATCATGGAAGCTAGTCCAACTCGATTCCAAATTCTCTTTCCTAAATTCAGCCCACGCCGTCCTCGACCTCTGCGCCGCCCCTGGCGGTTGGATGCAAGTTGCCGTCCAGCGTGTTCCTGTTGGTAGCCTCGTACTGGGTCTCGACCTTGTTCCGATAGCTCCCATACGAGGTGCCGTCGCTCTCCAGCAAGACATAACCAAACCCGATTGTAAGTCCAAGGTTAAACGAATCATGGAAGAGCATGGAACTATGGCTTTTGATGTGGTTTTGCATGATGGGTCCCCTAATGTTGGTGGAGCCTGGGCTCAGGAGGCAATGAGTCAAAATGCTTTGGTTATTGATTCTGTTAAGCTGGCTACTCAGTTCTTGGCTCCTAAAGGCACCTTTGTTACCAAGGTTTTTAGGTCTCAAGACTACAGTTCTGTTCTCTATTGTCTCAAACAGGTAATTGTTTTCTTCATTCTTTTAAAGATATTGTGATATTATCTCTGTAAAGTTTTGTTTTTCCTTGACATGTGGATTTTGTTTGGTTTGGTTTGGTTTGCAGTTATTTGAGAAGGTTGAGGTGGATAAACCAGCTGCCAGTCGTTCAGCATCAGCTGAGATCTATGTTTTGGGTCTGAGGTATAAAGCCCCTGCAAAGATTGATCCTCGTCTTCTTGATGTCAAGCATCTGTTTCAGGGATCAATAGAGCCACAGAAGAAGGTTTTTATTTTATTTTGTGTTTCAAAATCTCTTAAATAACTAACTTTTCCTTCAATTGTCTATGCTTATTTTGTACTTTCTGCCAAATGCTTGATGTAGGTGATTGATGTACTTAGGGTATCAAAACAAAAGAGACACCGTGATGGGTAAGGTTTCCCTTTATCATAGAGCTATTTTAACTAAATAAAATGAGTTTCCAATACTAAGTCAGATAACAAAGTTACTGCTTGTTCGTAATGATTGAACATGTTAATAGTATGCTCCAGAAAATTAGAAATATTTTGATAAATCATTTTGAGTCTGTCAGAAAATTTTCACATTGTTATTGTGGATATCATTGCGGGGCGATATATATTGTGCTTTGTTGCTAAGTCAGACAATTTTCACATTGTTATTGCGGATATCATTGCGGGGCAATATATGTTGTGCTTTGTTGCTGACTACATTCCAATTTCAGTTATGAAGATGGAGAGACAATCTCAAAGAAGGTATCCACAGGTGCTGACTTCATTTGGTCTGACTCTCCTCTTGAAATCCTTGGTTCAGTTACTTCCATAACCTTTGAGGATCCAGCTTCATTGCCTATTAAGGGTCACAGTTCTACCACAGATGAGGTCATTATTTTTTAGTATTGCTATTGTTTAACTTGCCTTAAATCCTTCTACTTGTGATTACTTACTTTACTGCTGTCTTGACAGGTCAAAGCTCTATGTGATGATTTGCGTGTTTTAGGAAAGCAAGATTTCAAGTACCTTTTGAAGTAAGAAACACATTTCATTTCAAAATCTTCCTTTTGAAATGTTTAAGTCTAAACAATTTGTGGTAATATGAAAATCTGTAAAAGTCAAGCTATAATCAGTGTACTTGATCAAAATATTTTGAGTAGGAGTATGCTCTGAATTGCAATTATTTGTTAGGTGCAAAAATGTTAGATTCGTGAGCATGGATGTGACATGTATTTTGTGGCGCCATTCCCTTGATTTGATGTTTTCCTGTTTATTTTTCATGTAGGTGGCGGATGCAATTAAGAAAAGCTTTGTCTCCTTCAGAAAAGGCTACTCCTATCACTGCCACAGATGTTGATAAAGGGGATGAGGAGAATGAAGATGATAAATTACTCAATGAAATGGAGGAGCTCACATATGCTATGGAACGTAAGAAGAAAAGAGAAAAGAAGCTTCTTGCAAAAAGACGAGCGAAGGTTTGTTGCGTTGTTAAAAAATCTCTGATCCCTATATTTATGTCTTTGTGCACATTATGACATCATAAAAATCATGAAATGGAATGACTTTTTTTAATAATACGAATGTTTGTGGATGTACATTATAGTAATTGAATGATGCCTTGTTTTCTTTTTGGATTGAGCATTCATCTTATTATAGATTTGGTTTTAATATTTCAGATTCCTATGGTGTTCTGCATCTGTCTTTTCTGTTGGAAATTTTTTGTTCCTTTACTTTAAATTGTAGGATGTTGCCATGCACGCTCATTTAGGTGCTATTTTCTTGACTTACTGTTTTGCAGGATAAATCTAGAAAGGCAACAGGAATGCAAATAGATGCTCTAGAAGATGGTTATACTGATCATGAGTTATTTTCTCTTTCTTCCATCAAGGTTTGCCTTTTATCACAAAGTCTTCAAATTAAAGAACTCCAGTGTTTAAACAACAACTAAAACAAAATTGGACTTAAGAATGCACTTATGTCATTTCAACCTTTGGCATAGTTTGACATGTAACCTTTCAAAGCCCCTTTATTATGGGCTAAACCATGGCATGGTCTGATGTTTAACCTTGTTGGCTAATAATATGCCGTTTCAAACCATAGACAGGTTTTGTTCTTAACATCTTTTGATCTTTTCCCGTTACGTTTTGGTATCTGTCTTTGAACTGAAATGGTTCTTGGGCATGCTTTACTGTGTAAGACTATTTGTCATGAAAAAAATAAAACCTTTCTTCTATTGTTTGGGAAAATGTGAGATTTTTTTGAATGAATTCACCACTGCCCTTCATGTTTTCCCCTTAAACTTTTGCTTATAGTAGTCATTGTTTAGTATTTCCTGAAAAATTTGACTTGGGGCCTTCATTTAAGCCTTCTTCTTTGGCTAAAGTTTTATTGATGTTAGACTGTTACTGCCTTCAGGGTAAGAAAGATCTTGTGGCAATTGATTCCACTGAGTATGATGATGGGAATAGTGACTTAAGGGGTAGTGAAGATGAAGAAAACCAAGAGAAAACTGAAGATGAGCCATCCAGTGATATTGATTCTGATGAAGAACGCAGAAGGTTGATTGCCTGCTTCTTAGTTATAACTGGGATTGATTTGACCACTATATAGTTTCTAACATTCTCTGTATGTAAATTAATCTTGTAATTTTGTGCTAGATATGATGAACAAATTGAAGAGATTCTTGATCATGCTTATGAACACTATGTGGCCAAAAAGGACGGAAGCACAAAGCAGAGGAAGCGTGCAAAACAAGCCTATTCTGACCAATTGGAGGTATGAAGCTCTTATAGTGGGCGTACTCAGGAACTTGTTGATCTTTCTCGCAACTTTAACTAACCAGAATAATGTGCAATCTTATAGTGTGTGTACTTGAGAACTCAACCTGTTGATCTTTTTCACAACTATAACTAACCAGAATAATATGCAATCTTGTCTTTATTGCTTGAAATTAAGTATTCTTTCACATTTTAAATTAATTCTATATCCCCATTTTTTGTTCAGTTTCTGATTTGCAAGACCTTGTTCCGTGTGCTATTCACAACCTGCTCTGCTTTCCTCTCTCCCCACTCTATGTAATCTGCATTCTTAGGTTGCTCTATCTAGTGCAATCTTTTCTTCCCCTATGCTTCGTCACTTCAGATTCTATTCTTACAATCTCTTCAAATGCTATGATCATTCTTTCTTATTTCTGCGGTTAATGCAGAATGCTGATTGGTTGATTTTTAAAGCTGGCAAAGTTATTGATTGGATTGAATTTCCTTTCTTGGCTGTGCAGGGTGGTGATGGTGACAATATCATCCTTTCCGATTATGATTCAGAAAAGGACGAGGCTGATCCTGAAGCAAATCCTCTCATGGTACCATTAGATGATGGAGAAGGACCTACTCCGGAGGAGATTACAAAAAGGTGGTTTGGTCAGGATATTTTTGCTGAAGCTGTAGATCAGGGAGATTTGGGGAATTATGACAGTGACGATGAAATGGAGGTTGATAACCAAGAGAAAACGCCACCTGTTCCTGAGGCGGCCAAAGTAAAGAAAACGCAGGATGAAAGAGCTTCTATCCCAGACAAGACCAAAGAAAAGATGACAAACAATGCTGCAGGCCCTGATTGCACTAAACTTCAGGCGTCAAAGGTAGAGGATGATTTTGAGATTGTCCCTGCTCCAGCTACAGATTCAAGTGATGACTCCTCTTCAGATGACTCAGAGGATGAAGATGTTGATACGAAAGCCGAGATATTGGCTTATGCGAAGAAGATGCTCAGGAAAAAGCAAAGGGAGCAAATTCTTGATGATGCATATAACAAATATATGTTTGATGACGAGGGTTTACCTCAGTGGTTCTTAGAGGAGGAGAGGAGACACCGCCAACCAATTAAGCCTGTTACAAAAGAAGAGATTGCTGCAATGCGAGCACAATTCAAAGAGATCAATGCACGACCTGCTAAGAAAGTCGCAGAGGCAAAGGCTCGAAAGAAGCGGGTAGCAATGAAAAAGCTAGAGAAGGTGCGACAGAAAGCAAACAGTATATCAGATCAAACTGACATCTCTGATCGGTCAAAGAGGAAGCAAATTGAACAACTATACAAGAAGGCTATGCCCAAAAAGCCCCAAAAGGAATATGTGGTTGCAAAGAAGGGCGTACAAGTCAAGGCTGGTAAGGGGAAAGTCCTTGTTGACCGGCGAATGAAAAAGGATGCTAGGGCACGTGGATTGGGTAAACCAGGAAAAGGTGGCTCCAAGAAGGGAAAGAACGGAAAAGTTAGGAAAGGTAAAGGACCTGTCAAGGCTCCAGGGAGGAAGGGAAACAATGGGAAAAAAGGTGGGCATGCATGATTGAACAAGTGAAGGTTTGTTAGATACATTTTTTTTAATATCAAATTGAAGTTTAACAATAAATACATTTTTAAGGCTGTTTATGTTGTTATTTGTTTTAATTTTTATCCATTTTATATAGTGGTTGTTGAGAGATAAAATTATGATTTTTTGAGTATTGATTCAAGGTATAATTGTAACGAATGAGGAGCTGTAAATTTCATACACTGCCGAAAGTTTTGCTTTTATCTGTTTCTTCTTGGATCTCAAGAGTATTTTTGTTCTACAATTTTATCTACCACTGGAAGGGTAACCTATTGGCTGCCTGTTCAATTTCCTACATGAATTTCAGATTGCTGGAACCTATTGGCAGTTAAAGTTTAATCTCATATGTTTGTTCTGGCCGCCAGGTTCTTCTCTCTGCCGTCAACCCTTTCCGCTCTTTTGTTTCTTCTTTATTGTTTTTTGTTCTTTTTTTCTTTACTGGGTTCTTTTGATCCTTGAAGTGCTATTTCAGGGAAAAGATTTTAAGGATCCTTTTTGTTCTCACTTCTTGCATTACCTATATATATAGTGATGATTGTTTAATGATAATTCAATTGCTTCTTGCTCGTCTCTACACAATGTTCTTTGTTTTATAGGAGAGGAATATTTAAGTACTTCAACCTTGACTGATCTTATCTCATGAGTCGAGACCTAGTGTTTGAAGAAACATGAAAGTCGTTGAATCCAAGGCTCAGCTGGAAATGGGAGCAAAACCTCTCCAAACTCTTTGAAGATGTCAACAGTGATCAAGAACGATATATTGGAAGAGATTACCAATCTTCTACTTGAAATTCAACTTAAAACATCACTCAAAGGACAAACGTTCTTAGGGTATTAGAGACATGATAAACTCAGATTCATATGGGATAACATTCTTCGAAATGATAGAAACGTCAAAATCAAGATTGGAATCACTTGAGCAAACGTTTGACGAAAATTAATTTTATTAACAATTGGATTGAAATTTATAATTTTGTAAAAAACTCAAAATTTTGACATATTTAATATAAAAAATAAATCCGCGACTTCACGTCAATGCAAGCATTAGTTGTACAATTTGAACCAAAATAAAATTAACAGTGTTAGAAAATGTATCAAACTCTCTCTAGAAACTACAGTGAGTTTTTCTGACAACAACTCCTCTGGCCTTTGTTTATTATTATTATTTTTTATCATTTGTGGTGTCTGTTGTGGAGATTTGTATGTTAACTTTGTGAGATGTTCATTTTAACCGGACGAGTTTAGTTTTATTTTATAAAAGAAATCTTAAAATTTGAATTTAAATTTTAATTAATATATCATAGTAGATTTTAAAAATATTTTAATATGAGATTGAACTATCACTAAATATTTTTATCAAGAATAGCATAAAATACATAAAATTATATGATTGCATATATAGAATTAGGATCGCATCAAATATTGAGATGTTAGAGATAACTCTCATACTGTAATATTTAACTCATATATAAAATCATAAAATTGTACACACAGACTCATGATCATATTAGACGTTAAGATTTTAAAAATAATTCTCGTGATATAACATTTAGCTCCCGTCCGATTGGTAACCATTTTAATATTATTTATGTAGATCCGTATCTAATCTATAAATAATTATTTATTTTGACTTGAAAGTTTTATAATTTTATCCTATAAAAGATATTTCATAAATATAAATTCAAGTTTTTACTTATATATTATAACACTCGTACTCAACTTATGAGAAATTATCCAATTTGATTCGAAAGTTTTATAATTTTATCTTATAAAAAATATCTCACGTTAGTGGATTTAAATTTTTACTTATATAATAGATCTTCAAAATATTTCGATATAAAATTAAAATGTTACAAGTTTTTTCATTAAAACTTAATATCTCTATTAAGCTTAGTACAAAATATATATAAAATCACAAAATAAAATCACATCAGATAATGAAATTTTAAAAATGATTCTCATAATATAATACTTAATTTTTATTTGATTGATAATTATTTTAATATTATTTATAAAAATCTATATCTAAGTTAAAAAATATTGTTCACATTAACAAAAAAAAATTGATAAATTTAAATTTAAATATTAACTTATATATTATTATAAATTTTAAAAATATCTCAATATAAAATTAAAATATCATATATATATATATATATATATTACAATAAATCCTTGTAAGCACCGGATATGAAATTGGAGTGTGACACTGTCACGAGTCTATCACCCTATTTTCAAATCTGGAAGCTAACCAATTATCACAATCTACAAGACAAATAGTACGGCATGATTAATGCCATTGCCGACACTTTTTTTTTTCAATTTTTTTTATCCTAAGAATAATGCTGTTGGGACAACTAAGAAAGTTTGGCTTCAGCCTTTTAGGCGTAGCGGAAGAATGCAGTTGGGGCAACTAATGAATGAAAGAAAGGATATCCAACGCTACATCTGATACTGTGTATTGTATATCTTGTTGATATATTCAAAGTTCACCTCCAATGTTTTAAAATTGTTTGTTAAACTAAAGACAATCTTGTTTTTTTTTTTTTGGTAAAAATAAAAATTTGAAATAGATAGATTATTTAATTTTTTAGATAAAAAAATATGTGATATTTGACAGTGTAAAACAGATGATTACAGATCATATATTCGAGATAACTTCAATAAATAACTATCGATTAAATTCGAATCCAAAACTTTTTTTTAAGAAAAAAGAGTCTAACTAATTGAACTAATCACTTATTGATAAAAATAATATTTATTTTTTCAAGCATTTGAGAGTGTTTAAAATTTTTTGTTTTAGTCGTTAAAATTAAAAATTTAATTCAAATTGCATGATTATGGATAATAAAGACAAGTTTTAAAGCAATGTTTGGTATAACATGATTATTTTAAAAATCATAATGATTTATAAATAGTAATTAAATTACTGTATTTGATAAGCATTTATTAATTTTATATGATAGTGATTTTGAATAATTGAAAGTGATCAAATTACTATCTTGGAAGATGATGTAATTTTCATACAAAAAAATAAAAATTTTTATCACTAAAGTAAAGTGATATGTAAAATTAACAATAATTATTTCTATCCATTTAATATGTGAATTAAATATTTGCTGCATCTAAAAATTATAATTATTTTATATTATAAATTTTTATATTTTCAAATTAATATTTGTTGTAACAAGTTCAAAAATAATTTATGTATTTTTTATTTTTTTAATATAATTTTTTGCTTTATTATGAATTTAATAGATTGATTTTATTATCCAATTTAATTTTTTTAACATAATTTATATTGTAAAAATTAATTTCCTTATCAATAAATATATTTATTAATTTAATAATTTAATTATATTTTATTATAAAATAAATAAATATATTAATATTTTATAAATTATTATTTTTAAACAACCTTAAAATTATTAATTTATGTAATTATTACCATGATTATTTTTGTATTTTTAAATAAAATAATATTTAATTTTTAATAATACTAAACGTACTGTTCTTTAATTTATAAGAATTAATTATTATTAATCAAATGAAATAATTTTAAATTTTGAGTGTTAAGATCATTTTAATAATAAAATTATTCTGATAATTATATTATTATGATAATCTTGTAAAAAATATCTAAAAAAAAAAAAGCATTTGAGATTAGAGGAAGCGAGTTTTCTTAGCAACATAGAGTTGCATAAGGTGTTTGGAATGATCTCCTAACATTTGAATATTAACTACAAATGGAAATGGCGATCAAGTTATTTTTCTTTCTATGTAATTATCTGCCGTTTAATTCGGATAGAATGCTGTAGTATTTCATGAAAATTGGTCACCTTATTATTTTAATTTTACAGATAAATAAATATGCTTTCATCGGAAAAGCAACCAAACAAGACTATCAAAAGTTTTCATTTCCCTTTCCAAATAAATGGGAAGTTAGAACATTCAATTGAAGGAAAAAAAAAAAAGAAGAGCCTGGGAGGTTAATTTCAAAGACAGAAATTATCCCACGAGGAACTAAAAGGGTGCCTGTATGCGGCAGCGGCAGCGGCAGCGGCAGAGGATTTAATTTCGTTTTCTGGAAAAATCTATGTGACAACGCCCTTCATAATATCTTTTAAGTAATTCTATTAATTATTTCAATGGCTTTTCAGCAGTTGGTACGTAAGGAAAGTCCACTTTCATTGTTTGTCTAGAAAATGTGGTTCTAATTCCTCGAGTCCCACTTGCAGGCTGGAGTTATTTCCTTTTCCATATAATGTCCATACATGTCTTTCTATATATATGTATATATATACATATATATTGGTTTTCCCAGCTGCAACGTTTATATATGTACGTTCTCACATGTATTTTTACCTGACTGAGTAGTTTTGGTATCATGAAATGGACATACGAAAATGACAAAGACAAATCTGAATGTATTCAAGAGAGATTCGTAGCCAGGAATATGCTTGGGGCTGAGCAAAAGGAGAAAAAAAAAGGGAATAAACCTGAGGGGTAGTTAGAAAAGGTGTAATTAACTACAAATGGAAATGGCGATCATTTTTTTTTCTTTCTATGTAATTGTCTGCAGTTTAATTTGGATAGAATGCTGTAGTATTTCATGAAAATTGGTCACCTTACTATTTTAATTTTATGGATGAATAAATATGCTTTCATCAGAAAAGCAATCAAACAAGACTATTAAAAGTTTTCATCTCCCTGTCCAAATAAATTAGGAATTAGAACATTCAATTGAAGGGAAAAAAAAAGGAAAAAACAGAAGAGCCAGGAAGGTTAATTTTAAAGACAGAAATTATCCCATGAGCAATTAAAAGGGTGTGTATGTGGCAGTGGCGGAGGACTTAATTTTCTTTTCTGGAAAAAAATCAATGCGGTTCTGCTTTTTGACAACGTCCTTCATAATATCTTTTAACTTATTCAATTAATTATTTCAATGGCTTTTTCTGCAGTTAGTAGGTAAGGAGAGTCCATCACAATTTTTGTATGTCTAGAAAATGTGGTTCTAATTCCTCAAGTACCACTTGCAGGCTGGAGTTGTTTCCTTTTCCATCTAATGTCCATACGTGTCGTTTTCTATGTTCTTGGGTCTTCCCAGCTGCAACGTTTGGTTTTGGTATCATGAAATGGACATACGAAAATGAAAAAGAAAAATCTGAATATATTCAAGAGACGATCATAGCTTGAAATATGTGT